GACCTGGGTGAACTGCGCAGCTACCTTGGCTTGCAGATCACCCGGGACAGAGCACGCCGCACCATTACCCTGACTCAGTCACACATGGTGCAGCAGGTCCTTCAGCGCTTCGGCTTCACGTACTCCTCGCCTCAGGCCACTCCTCTGCCTACTCGCCACTCGCTCTCAGCTCTGCCTTCGGATGAGTCCGTAGAGTCGAGTGGCCCGTACCCAGAGCTTGTTGGCTGCCTCATGTACCTGATGACCTGCACTCAACCTGACCTTGCATACCCTCTTAGCATTCTCGCACGCTATGTTGCTCCTGGGAGACACAGACCGGAGCACATGGCTGCAGCGAAGAGGGTGTTGCGCTACTTGTGCAGTACGTCGGGCATGGGGCTTGTGCTTGGAGGGCAGAGTCCAGTGGTCCTCACTGGGCACGCAGACGCTTCTTGGGCTGACGACCAGGCTACGCAGCGGTCGTCACAGGGTTACACCTTCAGCCTTGGTTCCGGCTCTGTTTCGTGGCGGGCTACCCGCTCGTCTTCTGTTCTCGGCTCCAGTTGTGAGGCTGAGATCTACGCCGGGGCCATGGCTGCACAGGAGCTTCGCTGGCTCACCTACCTGCTCACTGACCTCGGAGAGCCGCCTCGTTCTCCTCCAGTGCTGTACGTAGACAACAAGGCCATGCTGGCCTTGTGTCGAGAGCAGAGACTGGAGCACAGAACGAAGCACATTGCTCTCCGCTACTTCCTTGCTCGTGAGCTACAGCAGCGTGGTCAGCTGCGGCTTGCGTACGTGGCCTCTGAGGCCAACACTGCTGATATCTTCACCAAGGCACTTGCGCCTTGTGATCATCAGCGCTTCTGTACTCAGCTTGGTCTTGTGCCTACCTTGCCTCACTTGCTCACCCCTTGACCTTGTTTGTACTGTTGCATATATATATACACCTGCTCTTGCTTGTCTAGTCTTATGTATATATTTATATGCAATCCTGCATGTGAACTGGCCTTGTGGCCTTGAACTTGTGCTCGGAATGTGTGGTGACTTTGTGATCCACCCTGAGCTTGTTTTGCTTTGCTTGACTGGTCTTGTGACCCCTTGTTCTCCCCCACTTTGCCTATGGGGGTGTGTCAGATTTATATGACATAGCTACTGTAGGCTATAGTGGGGTAGCACATATGGGGTACAGTTTTCTAGGGTTTGCTTTTTGTACCCAACTTTCACTTAGTCATTTCATTCCTGTTTTTCTTAATTCACAGTTGAACAGTAGATCCATCTGCTGCGTGTACTGTGCTACACTACTGTACTGTTTGTGACGGTGTATCTACTGCCACGCCATGTAGGTCGTATTAATTGGCTCAAAACGTTCGATGAGGTCTGCCCGAAACTGCAGCCACGTTTTCTCCCCGCGGGCCACGTCAGTGTAGTAAATCCACTCTTTTGCCGGTCCACGTAATAGTGTCGCTGCGAGCCGAATCCGTGCTGCGTCGTGTGTCGGGGTTGAACAACCAATGGCCTCGAAATAGATCTCGAGGGTCACCACGAATCGTCGAACGTCAGATCCTTTCGCGCTGGGATCGAACGCTTCGGGGAGCCTCGGGCGTGCTGCTTCTAGGTTCGGCGACAGTGGTGCCATCGGTCCGTGAAATGTCGGTGTCACCACTGCTGCTGGTATTGTCGCTGCTATGTTCGCTGCTGCTGCGGTGGCGGCTCCTGGTTGGTGTGTCATAAGGGCCTCGAGTTGCCGGATCGCCGCCTGCGTCTGCTCCATGTCGGTGCGGAGGCTTGCGATGTCGCTCGTCGTCGCGTAGTTGTCGCCTTGGCCCTCCATGCCTGACATTGCGCGTTCGAAAAAACCGAAACGAGGGGGAGCGAAAACACGGAACCGGTTTTACGTACCCGAAATCGGTGTTTAACAGGCGTCGCCCCCGCAGTTTTTGAAGACTCGGTTTTAGCGGTCGAAAAACTTTCGCGTGTAAACGGGCTCTGATTACCAAGTGTGAGGATCTAGGATCGAGCTCAGAAAAGTGGGTTTCAATTGAATGATCCACCTGGGTACAACACGAGGCTATATATAGGCTCGACACAAGGTACGTAACCCAGGTGTTACGCGAATGTTCTGAGGGTCGCGAAGCGTCCCAAACAGAACCTTCCCAAACTCAGTAGAAAGCAATTCGGTGGAAACCGAATAGGCTTGAGTTCGGTACACGAAACCTGGTTCCGTGCTATAACTATAATAAAATATAGGAATGCACCTAACCTAGGAAATCAAGCATATCTATGCATGATAAATAAAACCCAAGCTAGATATAGCATAATAAAGTCTAGGCAAGCTAGCAAAGCTAGCATAAGTCGTCGTACTCTCACACCCTCGACTTCTCGACAGCTTGCAGTGTAGCCTTCACGAGGCCATCTGGCTGCGCCATCCACCTGGCTTCACTGGGTCGTTTTCTGAGGGTACCCAGTGGAGCCTGCGGCAACCAGTGTACGGCCTCCGTCAGGAACCTTGCGAGTGGCACGACACACTGAGGACGATACTTGCGACTCTTGGGTTTGCTCCTTCGACTGCTGACCCATTGCTGTTTCTGCGCACCGACACTACCCTGCCGCCGTTCTACGTTCTCGTATACGTTGACGACTTGGTCTTTGCTATTGCCGATACAGAGGCACTAGCCCAAGTGAAGGCGGAGTTGCAGGAGAGACACACCTGCACTGACCTGGTTGAGCTGCGGAGCTATCTTGGCTTGCAGATCACCCGGGACAGAGCACGGCGCACCATCACTCTGACTCAGTCACACATGGTGCACCAGGTCCTCCAGCGCTTCCGCTTCTAGTGCTCCTTGCCACAGCCCACTCCTCTGTCTACGGGTCACTCGCTCTCAGCTCCACCTTCGGACGAGTCCGTAGAGCCGAGTGGTCCGTACCCAGAGCTTGTGGGTTCCCTCATGTACCTAATGACGTGCAGACGACCTGACCTCGCGTACCTTCTGAGCCTCCTGGCTCGCTACGTGGCACCTGGTAGACACCGAAAGGTGCACTTTGATGCTGGGAAGAGGGTACCGCGTTACTTGTGCAGTACATCGGGCATGAGGCCCGTGCTTGGAGGACGGGGTTCAGTGGTCCTCACAGGACACTCTGATGCTTGTTGGGCTGACGACCAGGCGACTCAGCGTTCGTCACATGGTTACACCTTCAGCCTTGCCTCTGGTTCTATCTCGTGGAGGTCCACTCGTTCTTCTCTGTGCTTAGCTCCAGCTGCGAGGCTGAGATCTAAGCTGGGGCCATGGCTGCACAGGAGCTACGCTGGCTAACCTACCTGCTGACTGACTTGGGGGAGCGGCCTCGTTCTCCTCCAATTCTGTACGTCGACAGCAAGGCAATGCTTGCCTTGTGTCGCGAGCAAAGACTGGAGCACAGAACGAAGCACATTGCTCTTCGCTACTTCCTTGCGCGTGAGCTGCAGCAGCGTGGTCAGCTTCGCCTTGCTTATGTGGCCTCTCAGGCCAACACTGCTGATGTCTTCACCAAGGCCCTTGGGTCTGGTGATCATCAGCGTTTCTGCTCTGCTCTTGGGCTTGTGCCGATTCTGCCTCACCTGCTGGTTGCTTGACTTGTCTTGTACTGTGATCTATATATACATACATGCATGCTTGTTCTTGCTAGGTTGTGATCACTGCTTGTGCTTTTATAACTCTGCATGTGAACTGGCCTTGTGGTCGCTTGCTTGTGCTCAAAATGTGTGGTGACCTTGTGATCCATCCTGAGCTTTGCTTTGCTTGTTCTCTTGCTTGACTGATCTTGTGACCGTCTGGTTGTCCCCCACTTAGCCTATGGGGGTGTGTCCATAAGGATTTGTGCATTTGTGCTTGCTAGGCTGTCCTGGGGTACACCATAAGGGGTACAACCCCAATTAGGTCTACCACTTGTACACATCTCTCACACTAGTCCATCATTCCATCGAGTAGATTTCTAACAAACATTTCCCCTTCTCTACCGTACTCCCCCTGCTTATATTTAACGTTAGAAAACTCTGCCTCAGTCTGAGTGTAGTGTCAGAGATTCTCAGAGTTATACTTCTCTGATTCCTGAAAAATCGGAGTACCCATTTCAAGGAAATGGGCCTCAGACTATGTTTCTTTAGGGCCATTTAAAAGCCAGCCCTGATCCATGGCCGCTAGGAGCAATCAATGTCGTGCTCCTGGCCGCCCGTCATGCACCTCTTGGACCTCATGCCATCCTCCTTCCCCACCTCGGAAAAAAGAATCCCGGTCAGACTGAAGCTACTGGCCTAGGGAAGTACTGTGAATACCATGTGTTATGAATGCGCGGGTTTCACGAACGATGAAATGCACCCAATGTCGAAACTACAGAATGCCCTATGAAATGTCTAAAACGAGGGTAAATAAGGCACGAACGAGCTAGGCGAGGTTTTGAGACGTCTCAAAAGAATGCGCGGGTTTCACGAACAATGAAATGCACCCAATGTCGAAACTACAGATGCCCTATGAAATGTCTAAAACGAGGGTAAAATAGGCACGAACGAGCTAGGCGAGGTCCTCGGGCTAGTCGAGGCTCGGAAATGTGGCAAAAGGTGCGGTGGCGCCTCGGAAGTGGTTCGGGGCGAAATAGTAGGCCGAGCCGCACTAAGGCGAGACCCTCGGAATGTCCCCGATAATGTGAGCCTACACTAATGAATAATACTCCATTCCAACAACCATTGAATCACTAACTTTTCCAACCAAACCACACATCCCCCACCAGTCAGCCCTGTTGTACCCTCGATGCAAGGCTCGCATACATTATGACTACCTAGAAGGTAGGATACTACTTGGTGACGCAGTCCCTAGACACTGGAGGGCTGCTAAGGTCGTTGCCGTACACACTTTAGGGTTTCCGTACCTGCGGCAATAGTCGCGCACCTAGTTCTCACCAGCATTACGCAATCTCACAACATCCGCAGCGCTCTCATTTCCGTCATGGCTTTCGCGATCCTGCCGCGGCGAATATCGACGACGACCATGGTGCTTTTCCTCGTCGTCGTGAGTAACATCTTCATCTGCTTCGTGTTGCTCGACGAAGCGCCCTCCGTGCCGCTGCTCTCCCGCGCGGGGAAAGGCGGCGGCGGCGGCCTAGGCAGCGGGGGTCGCGGGAGGGAGAGGGGGGGGAGCGGTGGCGAGGGGAGGAGGCATCCGCGGGTAGCCGCGCACAAGCTCACTCCGGCGGAGATTGAAATGCTGGAGATGCGGAAACAAAAGTGAGTGGTGGCCTATTGAGTCAAAGAGACCTGTGAGTCGACTGATTGACACGAGTGGCGCATAAGCTGCTCTCCGGGCGAGCTCGAGACGCGGATACGGAAGCGAGTGGCGTGGTGGGCGGGCCCCGCTAAACGTATCCGTCAGGGAGTTGATATAGTGTACCGCACACAATGGAACACCTCTCACATGAGTGTGGCTTGCATGTCATTGCACTGACTGCAGCTCACGTCTCTGCCCTGTGTGCCTGTGCACACACAGCAATGCACCTCTCCCAAATCTCTGCCTTTTGTCTGTGCATGCACGCACACGTGTATTTCATGGCATTACCCCTCGTACCTTTGACGGCAGCAGCAGCAAGGAGGAATTCATTCAGTTCAGCGCCTACCGCATCACGCCCCTCCTTGTCCTCTGAGCTATACCTGTCCTGTGCATGCTTCCATCTCTGCTTTGTCCGTGCCTGTGCTTTCCCCCTCGCAGTTTTGATGGCAGCAGCAGCAAGGAGGGCTTCATCCAGTTCAGCGCCTACCGCATCACCCCTCTCCGCGTGGTCGCCATGGGCCTCATGCCGCTCACACACCATGACGTCATCACTGCCCAGCACTGCTGGTGAGGCCAGGCATGCCGTGTGCATGCATACATGTATGTAATTTTTCTGTTTTTGAGACGTCTCAAAAACCCTCATTTGACATGCCGTGTGCATACATGCATGTTTCTTTTGTGGTTCCGAGCTCATTGTATGATTCTCAAGAGCACCATGACGTCATCCCTGTTCTGCATTGCTCGTGTGTATGAATGTGCGTGCGTGAGTGGGAGTGTGTGGAAAGTGCGTCTGTGAGTGTGTGTGCATGAGTGTGTGTGTGTGTGTGTGTGTCCATGAGTGTGTGTGCATGTGTGTGTGTGTGTGTGTCCATGAGTGTGTGTGTGTGTGTGTGTGTGTGTGCGTGCGTGCGTGCGTGCGTGCGTGCGTGTGTGTGTGTGTGTGCGTGTGTGCGTGTGTGCATGCGTGGAAATCAGAGCAATGCATCACGAAAGTGTATCCAAACATGTGCACATTCGTAACCTTGGCCCCATATCCCCCTCCTCTCCATCCCCTCCCTTCTCTCACCCTTTTTTTCCTTCTCTTACGCCTCCTCCTCCTCCTCCTCCTCCTCCTCCTCCTCCTCCTCCTCCTCCTCCTCCTCTCTCCCCCCACTTCCACCCCCTTTTTTTCCCTCCTCCCTTCTTTCCCCCTCGCCCTCCCCTCCTCCACAGGTGGGAGTCAGCCAATGGGCAGTGGACAGATGGCGCCATCTCAGTGAAGTTCCCCGGGGAGCACCATGCACGCGCGTACGAGTGCGTTCTTCTATACTGCGACCTGCAGCGACCTGTCAGCTCTATGTGAGTTCAGTAGATCTGCCTCCCCCCTCACTGAGGGGCCCTCAGTGCCATGCCATGCCAACCGCATTGCCAAGGGAAGCACCTCACGCACACGCCCACAAGAGTGTTCTGCCTTTCTGCAACCTGCAGCGACCAGTGAGAGCTCCGTGTGTGTGAGCTGGGTTGCACTGCTTGCAGGTTCTACAGCAGCAAATACTACTGCTTGGGTTGCACTGCTTGCAGGGACGATCCACTCAATACAGGTGCCTGCAGCCTGAGTTGGTTTGTGTTGTCTACTCCTGTGTGTGTGGACGATCCAGTCAATATAGGTGTGTGTATTCCCTCTTCCTCGCCTCAATCAACCTTTCCCTCGCCAGGGTGGGCGGCACGCTCAAGATGGCGGTGGACCAGCAGGACCTGGTCGTTTACAAGGAGAGCCCCGGCACGCCCGAGCCTCCGCCGGAGGTTCGGGAGGACGTGCGGGTGTTTGAGCGCAACCTGACGTACTGCTCCGCGCCCATGTTCGGGGCGATTGACACGCAGCGGCTGCTGGAGTGGATCGAGTTTCATAGATCGGTTCACGGTGTTGATGTGAGTGAGCATAAGCGCACATGGTGACACATGGCATGGCATGATATGACATGCACAGTGTGCGTTGCACATGAGCAGCAGATATCCGTGATTGATTGGGTGACTCGCAGCGGCTGCTGGAGTGGGATTGAATTCCACCGATCAGTTCACGGTGTGGATGTGAGTGAGCATGTGTGTGCATGGCGTGGCATGGCATGGCATGGCATGGCATGGCATGGCATGGCATGGCACGGCATGCACTTGACTGCTTGTTCGGGGCGATCGACACGCAGAGGCTGCTGGAGTGGATTGAAGCTCTGTGCATGGCATGGATGTGAGTGGCGAGAGTGCAATGCAAGCACGTGTACGCATGGCATGGCATGCACATGAGATGAGATGCTCATGACTGCAGCATGTGCACGAGTATGCTGCTGGAGTGGATGTGAGTGCATCTCTCCCTGCCTCCCTTCCTCCCTGCCTCCCTTCCTCCCTGCCTCCCTGCCTCCCTGCCTCCCTGCATCCATCCATGCACCCCCGTTACAGTACCTGCGCATGTACGATACATGGGCCATGGATGATAGTGGGCATCAGATGTACTAGATAAGTTACCTTCTGCACCATGCCCCCATGCCCCCATGCCCCCATGGCACCATGGCACCATGCACCCATGCCCCCCAGTATCTGCGCATGTACGATGCAGGGGCCATGGATGATGACGTCATGGCAGCTCTGAGGCCGTACCTGAGGGCGGGCATCATGGATATCACCGACATCAGAGGGGCAGCACTCTATGACACATGGAGCTATGCGCAGGTGGGTATGGCTGAGTTGAAATGGGGGAGGCGAGGTGTGTGTGTGTGTGTGTGTGTGTGTGTGTGTGTGTGTGTGTGTGGGCACACATAACCATGACGGCACTCTTTGACTCCCTATCTCAGGGTGGGCATCACGGATATTACTGATATCAGAGGGCCGGCGCTCAATGATACGTGGAGCTATGCGCATGTTGGTGTGTGGGGGGGAAAAGGGGTTAATGGGGAAAGGAGGAAAAGGGGGGGAAAGGGGGGTTGGCCATCCATCACATAATCTCTCATCCGACTCACAAGCATACAATCTAATTCATCACCCCATGCTTGTGCGTAACTCGTTCACCGATGTGAGTGTCGTCCATCGCACAATACAGAAACAGCCCGCGCCCTGCTCAAGGCCTCTACATCACACCGCGCCCTGCTCAAGGCCTCTACATCACACCGCGCCCTGCTCAAGGCCTCTACATCACACCGCGCCCTGCTCAAGGCCTCTACATCACACCGCGCCCTGCTCAAGGCCTCTACATCACACCGCGCCCTGCTCAAGGCCTCTACATCACACCTTCGAGTCCCTTGCCCTTACCGAGGGTGGGCGGACGCAGTCCCTTGCCCTACCCATGCTCCCTCACAGGCGCTCACACACTTGTTCCTCCTGCCCTGCGTCCGCCCACCCTCCCCTCGTGCGCCATGGCAGGTGCTCATGGTGAACGACTGTGCTCTCAGGTCTCGACAACTCACCCGGTAACTACCGCCGCCCCTTCTCTCCCTCACCCTCTCCCTCACCCTCTCTCTCACCCTCTCTCTCACCCTCTCTCTCACCCTCTCCCTCACCCTCTCTCTCACCCTCTCTCTCACCCTCTCCCTCACCCTCTCTCTCACCCTCTCTCTCACCCTCTCTCTCACCCTCTCTCTCGCCCTCTCTCACCCCCTCCCTCATCCCCCCTCGCATCCTCTCTATCTAGTGTCCCACCGATCCATCGCTGTGAGGATAAAGTTTTCGGTGAACTTAACTTGCTAAGTATTCAGATTTCAGCTCGATTGCTTTCCAGCGCATTCACGTGGTGGAGCCACACGCACACAAGCCACCCATCCACGTGTCCTCCACATGCTTCCCATCAAGTGGGTGCTATTCATGGGCGTGGACGAGTGCATGCAACGGGTGGAGCTCCCGTCCATGTGTGTGCTATGTGTCCCATCCATGCCTATTTCGCCCCTCCCTCCTCCCCCATCAGGTGGGTGCTATTCATGGGCGTGGGCGAGTGCATTCACAGGGTGGAGCCATGTCAGTCTCCTCCTATCCATGTGTGTGCTACGAGTGCCATACATACCATATACCCCCTCCCTCACAGGTGGGTGCTATTCATGGACGTGGACGAGTACATACACGTGGTGGAGCCGCCGCACTCGCTGCTCGTCTTTCTCAACTCAGTGCCCGCCATTCCCTGGCTCTCCTTCGGCTCCCTCACCTTCCCCCTCGACATCTGCGGCAAGATACAGGTGTGTGTATACTACCTCTGTGTGGCTTTTCTATACCCCTGCCCGGGTTTATGCCCCTGCCAACCCCCCTTCCTACACCCCTCTCAACCCCACTCAACCCCTTCCTTTGCACCTGCCAACCCCACTCAACCCCTTCCTCTCCACCTGCCAAGGCACTACCGCATTCAACCCTTCCTCTGCACCTGTCAACCCCACTCAACCCCTTCCTCTGCACCTGCCAAGGCACTACCGCATTCAACCCTTCCTCTGCACCTGCCAACCCCACTCAACCCCTTCCTCTGCACCTGCCAAGGCACTACCGCATTCAACCCTTTCGTAAACCCTTGTCAAACCCACTCAACCCCTTCCCATACAGGAGGCGGGGTGGGAGCCGTGGGCAGTGGAGCAGCTGGTGTTTCGCGAGCCGGTGCCGCACTGCAAGGAGCCCACCAAGTACTACAGGTGCGTTTGCTTTGCTTCTGCTGCCAGGGTGTTTTTCAGGTAAATACAGCAGAAAGTGAGTATGCATTGCAAGGACCCCACCAAGTACTACAGGTGCGGTTGCATTGGTGCTCAGGTAGTTCTTCAGGTGAATTCAGCACAAGTGTGAGTGGCATGACGCACTACAAGGAGGCCACCAAGTACTACAGGTGCGTTTGCTTTAGCTACGCAGGTGATTCTTCAGGTGAATTTAACAGGTGTGTGAGTGGCGCACTAGTTGTAACGCAAGGAGCTCTCCAATACAATATGCCTCTCTATTCCAAGTGCTTCTCCAGGAGTCCCTCCAGGTGATTGTATCTCAGGTGGTTCTTCAGGAGGACATTCCACTCCAGCTCTCTGCACTCTCCCCATCCTTTCATCACAGTCAAGGCGCATGTCTCAAGTGGGACGGTCACTCCCAAAGTGGTGAACCCTCGAGCAGCACAGGTGTTGCAAATCAACCTCTTCTACGAGCTCAATCCTACCTGCCTATGATCCCCCCCTTTTCCCCTCTGTTTACCACAGTCGTGACGCATGCCTCAAGTGGGACGGCCACCGCAAGTACGTGGTGAACCCACGGGCAGCGCAGGTGCTGCAGATTCACCGAGTCTACGAGCTCAACCCCGCCTATGATGCCAATGCCCCCCCAGACGCTGCTGCTGCTGCCTCTGCTCAAGCTGCCACTGCCCTTCTTGCCACTTCCGGCAGGGAAGAGGGTAGCAGTAACGATAATGACAACAGCACAGGAAACAGTACGAGTGTGGGTGCTCTTAGTGGGGCAGCTTCTACAGGGAAGCTGATTCCTGTTGACGATGTGCAGGGACTGCTTATAGGGAGTACAGGCGGTGGGCTGAATCTACATACAAACATTATAAGGGTGAATCACTACAGGGGGTTGGGGATTAGGTATGTGCCTATGTGTCGCCAGATTATTGCTCTCTCCCAAGGGTGTTGTGAGGGACATCAATCTTGCCAGAATTGCGGTTGCTTCTAGATTGCGTTCATTAGATGCTGCTGCTATATAGGAAACGTGGTGCCTGTTTTGTGTGTATTGTACGCAGACGTTATCCCAGTTGATTCCCTAAATATGGATTATGAAAGCACCTTTGGTTTCCCCAGCTGGTTATGTTCCCAGTCAATTCCTCGTGCCTTGAAGTAGCAATCTATATAATAAAAGTTTCTCGTTATGGAGAGTGTAGTGGCCATAATGTAATAGATGCTTGTACCCGATGAACCCCCCTGTCGAGCCATCGCTTTGGTGCTGTTCGCCAGCACCAATGAAGCAAAAAACCATGGGATAATGACGGGATCAGGAAGGTGGATCTCGCCTTCCTGATCCCGTCAGTTAGGGTTCGTTTACCTCCGTCAGCCTGGTCAGCCCGTAAAAAAGGTGCCGAGCCTCCCCAACCGTCCAAACCTACAATCTAAGTGGGTGTCTGGCGAACGCCCCCATTTGTCCACCAAAACGAACTGCTCGATGGCATATGGAAGCGGGGACGCAACTTCGTCCTCAGGCAAAGTTCTATCCCCAAGCCATGCCATCGCCATGCCGCGTTTTTCGAAGCACAGCGATGGTACAGCCGTCGCATTGCCGTTCAGAGGGGAACCTCTGAACAAGCCTGTTGTTTGACAAAGGGAGTTCGAATACCCCCCATTTCGTAAACCCTAAGGGGGGTTGCGTGAGTCTGGTTTGTGAGTGGATTGAGTACGAGGGGTCTCGGGGGTTGTATTTGAGATTAGTTTTTATTTTATGTTTTTTGCGCTTGTTACCCTGGTTCGTTTTTTGCCCTCGGTCTGGCACTGGTCAGTGGCGCGTAAAATTCGCGCCACTAGATGAGGAAGGTGGGGCTGGGGGTTCCATATGCGGTTGTGAAATTTCCTGCTTTTGGGATTGAAGTTTCGCGGACCGCATTACGCCCAGACCTCTTGGGCGGGTTTCGACCCCGGTTCCGGATGCGGTTACCATGGCGATGCCGCCAAAATGCCATCGTTTTCTGAGTTGCTGGCGAACACCGCCTTTGTGAAGGCTGTGAGTACCGTATGTGCCACTTAGCTTTTCCTGTGTCTGCATTTTTCCTAGGAGCACGGCGCTAATGGTTCTTCGCAGGATCAGTGACGTTTTCGCATAAAAACTAGTCCTCCCTAGGTCATCATAGCCTTCGATCGGACGGCTGATCCTTGCTGATCACAACGAAAGCCGTTACGATTCTGAGTAGATTCCACGCGTCCGCGTGCTCCAGCACAGCATAGACCGTTGATGCTGCATAATCTGTCCCGTCTGACACGCGTTGCTTCGGCTGTGTGCTACTGACCGTTAACCATGCCACCGTCACTTTCTCTCGCGATATCACCGTCGGTCGATCTAGTTCCCTTGTCGCCTTTACGAAACGGGAAACTGTCGCAGACAAGCTCGTCGTCACAGTGCGCGTGCACGTCGCTCTATAATGTCACTCCCCCATCGTCGGTAGCTCAACACGGCATCAGACCATCGGCGATCCTGCGGCTAAACTTGAATCACCAGGCGTTTCAAAACAGCACAAGGCCTTCGCCAGTTCTGCAACAAAGCAAGAGGATGTCGCTGGTTGTTCGCGCGGCTGCGTGCGACGCGCAGATGTCGTCCGGCGGCGGAGGAGAGTCACAGTCGTCGTCGGGAACGTCGGGATCGCAGCAGGCAACACAGCAAAAGCAATCGGCTCCCAACGGTGAGCTCAGAATGGGAAAAGTATTTATCACATAGTGATGGGTACTGTGCAATTATCTGAATCCAGGGACATGAGGCGTCGTCGTGATCGGGGTCATTGGGATCGCAGCAGGCCAGGCAGCAGAGGCAGTCCGTTCCTATTGGTAAGTCCAGAATCGATTAGAGAATCGTAATCGCCGTCGCCAGGGTCGTTGGGATCGCAGCAGGGCACACAGCAGAAGCAGTCACTCCGCTCTTACCCTGAACTGAGTGCCGGACGGCTCTTAACGGTGTGTTGAAGTAGGGAAATCTTCTGGTTGGGTCGTGAGGTGCTGTGACTGACTTTGCCTCTCGGGACACGAGGAGAGACGACGTCGTTGCCAGGGTTTTCTGGGACCGCAGCAGCAAACACAGCAGAATCAGTCCGCTCTTACGGTGAGTGGAATGTGGGAAGTATTCTGAATCTTGAGGTGCTGTCAATTGATCTGCCTCACGGGACACGAGGAGAGACGTCGTCGTTGCCAGGGTCGCCGGGATCGCAGCAGGAAGCACGGCAGAATGAGTCCGCTCTTACAGTGAACTGGACAAACAGCGAACCCTGCGATCGGCTGCCAATGATGTGAGCTCTGTGACCATTAGCTGCCAATACAGATTGAATGTCTCTTGTTGAGTCATCATAGCCGCTGCGATCCCAACAGCAGCAGGCCATGCAGCAGCAGCAATGGGTCTCGATATGGTATGTGAAATGATGGCGAGGTTATTTTTCTCGATTTTCCAGTCCGTCGCTCATACCCTCCTGTTGTGCTTCATCCCTTCCTCCGTCTTTTCTCTCCTGTGTTTTCTCGCCCACCGTTTCCTCCATCTTATTCCTCCCTTCATTCCTCTGTGTCTCCCCCTTTCTTTGTTCCAACTCCCCCTTTCCCTTCTTCCTTTCCTTTCTCCCTTCCTCCCTCCTATCTTCCCCTCCTCCCCCCTCACGTCTTCTACGTCCATCCTCTTCTCTCCATCCCCCCACCTTGATCCAAAGCTGCCTGATCATTTATCTGCCTCCCTCCTCCCTCTTCCTGTCGCTCCCTTCCCCTGTGTATGTGTCCCCCACCTCCGCCTCTCAACCTTTCTCTCCATTCCCCGCTGTCTCCATGTTTACCCTCCCCTCATTCTTCTTTCCCGTCCTCCCCACCCTCCGCCCCTTCACCTTTCGAATCCCAACCTATTCCCCTCCACCCCCCCCTCCCCTCCTTGAGCTACCCCCATTGCCACATGCTCTGCTCTGCATCACTCCTGTTCCTGCCTACCATATCGCCACCATTACAAACTCACGAATCACTCTTCAACCAATCTACTCAACTTACCCTCTTTCGTTGTGCTCTTGCCCTGTTGCACTCGTGTCCCCACTGTCTCCTGCTCCGCCAGTGGCGAAGCTTGACATGGGGGGAACAGGTTTTCCTCCTCGGGATGACGATGGGGGTGGTGGAGGAGGTGGGGGCGGTGGTGGCCGGTTCTGGTGGGGCTTTGGTTTCTGGTCAGTGCTGCTGCTGCTTTCCTTTTTTAAAGATCGAGACGAGAAAAAGGGACGGTCAGGGCGTAGAGCATATTAAGGTTGTGCTGAGATTTTATGAGCAGATTATGCATTGTAATAGCAATGCTGAATGCTTGAAAGGAGTTGCATATTGGAAGTGGTGCTACCTGTATTCTTCTTCCAAGTTCATACCACTCTTGCAACACAACACGGTATTGAATTTGTGCAAGTGGATCTCGTGCGGAAATACTCCATAAGAGCCGAATGGAACTTGCACCAACTTCGAGTGAAGTTTACTTCCACGTCAGCGCGTGGGCTTCTGGCTTGCACTGGGCAGCGAAGTTCTGCCCATTCTGCCCAGATCACAGCCAGGTGTCGTGGTGACCACCAATCGGGACACACCGCCACCACAATCTCCCACCACTCCACCTTTCTTGCACCACGCGCCAGTTCCTCAGCACGTGGATCTGACCGTTCGTGCCATGTCAGGACTCAGGAACCAGCGATGCGGGGCGGGGTTGCTTGTGCTGGCAGATAGGCGGTGGTTGTTGAGAAAGAAGATCTCCCGTTACCCGTATCCTTTCTCGTTGAGTCTGCAATCACTTCGTTAATCCTCGCGTACTTCGTGATGCTGGGCTCGCATTTGCTCATATTCCTCGTTTAGAATACGCAGATCTCGTCAGGCTCGTCATGGCTTTTTTTACGAGGATGTTTCGGTTCTGCCTGTGTGAACTTGGAAGAAGAATACACTCGAAGGAGTCTTGGGAGTTGGGTCCTAATTGTTTTCTGCTGGGCAACATGTCACCTACTGTAGGGGCATGGTGGTGAACGAGTGGTCAGATATTGCGCAATAAAAGCGTACCTTTTTGGCAAGTGTCCACCTGTCACTCAGCTTGAGCTTTGATATTGTCAGGAATCTGAGTCGTAGCCTTGATATTGCCGAGCGAGACGCAAGAACTACACGTACTAAGGACATCGGTTCTTGTTATATACTCGGCTCGGAAAGCACGCCCCTTCTGAGTTCTGCTTGTCTCGCTCCCTCGCTCTCTTCCGCTACGCATTTCGAGTAATCCCGCTGTGCGTTGTGTGTTTGAGAGGGTGTGCTGTGTTCGGCTTGGCATCGACAACCCTTCCGTTCACGATTAGAACGGGCGATCTCCGTCGCTCAAGGTAATGACCGCAACGGTATGTTGAAGTTCTAGCAGCTCTGGTTGTCAGGATAAGACGGAATGAGGCGGAATAAGATATCAGAATGAGTTGAGTTAAAGGAATCACAACAAGACATAATGAGACGGAAGAAGGTATCGGAAATAAAGGCAGAATGGGACGGAATAAGGAACCAGAACAAGGAGACTGAATGCGGCAGAGTAAGAACCGATAGGCGCGGCTAACGTTGTGCAAGAAGAGACACGGTGACAAAACTGGGCGGGCGAATGAGGAGGAACGGCGGAACTTATAACGGAGGCAAAAATTCGAATGGTGCTGCTAATAGCTTTCTGCGATAACAATACTTTCTTCGGGTGTTGGCGCCTACTAAAGGGACCTAAGGCTACCGAAGGGACGGTCACACTCACGCGTACGGTGCAGTCGTTGACGCTCACTCCCACTTTATCTGTTTCTTCCAGGTCTCTCCTTCCGCTCTCCGTGTCTCGGCCATCCCTCTGCTCCGTGTCGCTCTCATAACTCTGCTGATGTCTCTGCCTCTCCTGGTTCCGCCCTTGATCTTCCCTGTGGTGACGCGACCCCACACCTGCGGCCCTCTCGTCCACCTACCGCCTCTCAACCCCCACCGCAGGATCGCTCGTGGAGCCTACGTTCCTATTGTCTTGGTTCAATGGCCACCCTTCCCCTGTGTGTGTTGATCTGATGCGACCCCACACCCGCAGGATCGCCCATGGAGGCTGCGGCCCTCTCGTCCACCTACCGCCTCTCAACCCCCACCACCCTCACAAGCCTCGCCCTGCAGCGATCCTCGCCGAATCTGAGCCACCCGTCAGCCTCTCCGGCGCCTGTGGCTTCGTTTCTGTCACGCGGCCACCACTCCGGTACAAGCACGAGCAGGGTGTGCATCAGCAGCAGGAGCAGCAGCAGCTTCAGAAGCGCGAGCAGCCATGTACTGCTCAACACCTACTGCCTATCCAGGCCCTCGGGAACATCAAGATTACGAGGTGGGTCCTTTCTTTTGTCTATGCTCTCATATTTGAGGTCATGGGCTTTGGTTATATGCAGCACACGCTTCCCTCTAGAAGAGAACCCGTTAACGCACAAAAGATTACAGAACGCTGTAAGAATACGCTCCTTGGTTGTACACTACGCTTGTCCCTCCTGTTTGTCCTCCCTTCCTCTCTTATCCCTTCGTCCCTCCGTTTCCCTTCTTCCATCCTCAACCTCCTCACCCCCGCTCTCCTCTCACCAGCCGGAACAGCCTTTGCAGCAGCTCAGGCAGAGAGCGCGACGTCAGCAGAGCCACAGGAGAGTGACACGTGGAAGGTGAAGGTGTTGTATGATGGGGACTGCCCAATCTGCATGAAGCAGGTGAGAGAGAGGCTGCCACGTGGGGTGTGCGTGTGAGAGAGAAAGTTCGCACTTGCAGGTCGAGTTCCTCCCTTCCTCCTACCCACACTCCGTCCTCTTGCACGTGGAGTTCCTTCCTTCTTCCAAACACTCAAGTTCTCCTTTTGAGGTGGATGAAGTGTCGTTCTTCCCCCTTCCCATCCCACCGCCTACCCACACTCCGACCTCTTGCACGTCGAGTTCCTTCCTGGAGTTCCAACAAACACTTCCAAACACTCAAGTCCGCTTTTTGAGGTGCATGAATCGCCCTTCTATCTCATTTTTCACCGCCCACCCACCCACCCACCCCCCTCCGTCTTGCAGGTGGAGTTCCTCTCGGCGCGCAACCAGCAGTTTCAAACGCTCAAGTTTGTGGACATCTCCTCCGAAGACTATGACCCCGATGAGAACGGAGGAGTCGAGTATGAGGAGGTGCGTGTAAAGAGAGCGGTTGTAATGAGGATAAAGAAGGTAGCAGTCTATAAGTTGGGGTTTCAAACGCTCAAGTTTGTGGACATCTCCTCAGAAGACTATGACCCCGATGAGAATGGCGGCGTCGAGTACGATGAGGTGCGTGTAACGAGAGTTGTTGTAACGAGGATAAAAGAGGTAGGAGTTTATCTAATGGATTCTCACATGCTCAAGTTCGTGGACATCTCCTCAGAGAATTATGACAATGGCGGAGTCGAGTATGAGGAGGTGCGTACAAGGAGGGTGATCATTGGGGCTTGTAACGAGGATACATTTCTAGGGGAAGTTCCAAACGCTCAAGTTCGTAAATATCTCTTCAGAGGATTATGACCCCGATGAGAATGGCGGTGTCGAGTATGAGATGAGGAGGGTAACGAGGATAAAGACAGTTGTAATCTATAAGCTGGAATTTTTCACACGCTTAACTTGCGTGAAACAATTATTGTTGTATCGAGGATAAAGATGGTATGGTATTAGTTCAAGTTTTGTCCATTTCGACTGAGGAATACAGAGGAGTCACATACAAGGAGGTGTGTCACGTGTGTAACAAGATTGTCCGTCAGACGGAGTACATATCCCGTTCTTTTGTGCATCCCATGTCTCCCTCCCATCTAAATCCCCCGTTGCCTTTTTATATCATTAAGAAAACATTCCATCTATCATAAAAACCTCTTGCTTGTCTCAACTCAACAGCATTCCATAATAACAACAGTCTCCTGAATTCTGCTCCACTTCCCACGGCAGGCCATGGGTCACATGCACGGGGTCTTTCGGGACGGCACAGTTGTCAAAAGCATGGACGTGAGTTGCTTCGTAGCGGGATGTGAGCCGAGCCGACAATTTATTGAGGGTTGATATGGTTTGTTGCCCGCAATTTCGGTTTCGCCAAAGTCTGTACTTGGAAAAATGAAAGCGTAGGAAAATATGAGTCTTACTTACGCATTCAGACGCCAGAATGATGGAACCCAAAAACAAAATCTACAAAAGCAAAGCCACAGGTCTGTGGTTCAAAGCAAGCCAACTTCCGTTCTCAATGTGATTTGATATGCAAAGTGAATGTGAGTAAGCATGTGAATGTATGAGCTGGCATTTGAATGTGTGAGTTGGCATGTGAATGTATGAGCTGGCATTTGAATGTGTGAGATGGCATGTGAATGTATGAGCTGGCATTTGAATGTGTGAGATGGCATGTGAATGTATGAGCTGGCATTTGAATGTGTGAGTTGGCATGTGAATGTATGAGCTGGCATTTGAATGTGTGAGTTGGCATGTGAATGTTTGAGCTGGCATTTGAATGTGTGAGTTGGCGTGTGAATGTATGAGCTGGCATTTGAATGTGTGAGTTGGCATGTGAATGTATGAGCTGGCATTTGAATGTGTGAGTTGGCATGTGAATGTATGAGCTGGAATTTGAATGTGTGAGTTGGCATGTGAACGTATGAGCTGGCATTTGAATGTGTGAGATGGCATGTGAACGTATGAGCTGGCATTTGAATGTGTGAGATGGCATGTGAATGTATGAGCTGGCATTTGAATGTGTGAGATGGCATGTGAATGTATGAGCTGGCATTTGAATGTGTGAGATGGCATGTGAATGTATGAGCTGGCATTTGAATGTGTGAGTTGGCATGTGAATGTATGAGCTGGCATTTGAATGTGTGAGTTGGCGTGTGAATGTATGAGCTGGCATTTGAATGTGTGAGTTGGCATGTGAATGTATGAGCTGGCATTTGAATGTGTGAGTTGGCATGTGAATGTATGAGCTGGCATTTGAATGTGTGAGTTGGCATGTGAATGTATGAGCTGGCATTTGAATGCGTGAGTTGGCATGTGAATGTATGAGCTGGCATTTGAATGTGTGAGATGGCATGTGAATGTATGAGCTGGCATTTGAATGTGTGAGTTGGCATGTGAATGTATGAGCTGGCATTTGAATGTGTGAGTTGGCATGTGAATGTATGAGCTGGCATTTGAATGTGTGAGTTGGCGTGTGAATGTATGAGCTGGCATTTGAATGTGTGAGATGGCATGTGAATGTATGAGTTTGCATGTGGAGTGGACTGGAGTGTTGCGTGCGCACGTAACATTCTCCCTCTCTGCACAGCAACGTGTAACACTCTCTCTCCCTGCACAAGCAGCAACACTTAACACTCGAACGGTCTTTATTGAATACAATGAACGGTTCAGCTAATAGAGAGCAAGGCACAGGTGAGCAAGGCACAGGTGAGCAAGGCACAGGTGAGCAAGGCACAGGTGAGCCAGGGCATAGTACGTAATGCAATCTAATGGGCAAGTGAGTCGAGAGGGAAGGTAAAGAAAGGGGGTGAGCATATAAACCAGTGGTAGCGGCCTATTCCGCAGCCTGTACATGGAGAAGTGTTTTGAGACGTCTCAAAACACTCCTTCATGCATGCAGCCTGTACATGGAGCATGTACATGCCATTCGAGCCCCAGTGCTTCATACATGTTCCTTACCTCCCTTCCTCACAGGCTTAAGCAGTTTCTACGATGCAGCTGCCCTGGGAAAGGTTGGCCTCGCACCAGGCTCGGTGTGTAACAACTTTGCAGGCTCTTTTGGGGCGCTTTTACTCACTCTCAACGCCACTTCCCTCTCTCCCCCCCTCTCGCACAGCCTCTCTGCAGCTTGTACGATGCAGTGGGGCTGGGATGCAGTGGGGTTGACTTTTGAGGCGTCTCAAAAGTGGGGCTGGAATGCACGGGGGTTGACTTTTGAGGCGTCTCAAAAGTGGGGCTGGGATGCAGTGGGGTTGACTTTTGAGGCGTCTCAAAAGTGGGGCTGGGATGCAGTGGGGTTGACTTTTGAGGCGTCTCAAAAGTGGGGCTGGGATGCAATGGGGTTGCACCAGCTCAGTATGGAACGATTTGGAGGCTCTTTTGGGGCGCTTTCTATCACTCTCGATGCCCCTTCTCCCCATCCGCAGATTACACAATGCAGTGGGGCTGGGATGAGAGCGTGGATCTTCATTGGGGCGCTTTTGATCGCTCTCAATTTCCCTCCCTCCACCCCTTCCCCCCCCTCCCCTGCCCCTCACACCAGGCGTTCCGCAGCTTCTACGATGCAGTGGGGCTGGGATGGATCATCAACGTCACCAACTTCCCCCCGGTACGCAATCCTTTCTGTTCTACGCGCAGCAAAAGCAGTCACTCGCACTTTCCCGCCCGTAAGCAGTAACTTTTGAGTCGACTAAAGATTTTAGGGTGCAGTGGGGCTGGACTGGATGGATGGATCATCAACGTCACCAACTTCCCCAAAGGTAAGCCATCCTTTCCATTCAAGGCGCCTCACAAGTAGCCGCCAACCTACCCCCCATTATGAGCTCATTACATGGGCAAGGGAAGGGGGGGCTACTTATGAGGAGAGCCGTGTGGATCTCCTCCCACGTGGGCACCACAGTGCTACCACGTGGGCACCACAGTGCTATCACGTGGGCACCACAGTGCTACCACGTGGGCACCACAGTGCTACCACGTGGGCACCACAGTGCTACCACGTGGGCACCACAGTGCTATCACGTGGGCACCACAGTGCTATCACGTGGGCACCACAGTGCTATCACGTGGGCACCACAGTGCTACCACGCGGGCACCATGTGAACCACCACATGGGCACCACATGGCCTACACATGGGCCACCACATGGCCTTCACATGGCCAACGCATGGGCCACCACCTGGCCTTCACATGGCCAACACATGGGCCACCACACATGCAACCACCAACCATGTGGTAACGTCTGCTGCTGAACCTTTTTGTTTTACTTTCCAACTCCCCCTGTTGTTCTAGTATATTGTTCTATTATATACTGCTGTTCTCCTGTCTGCCTTTCTTCACACATTCCTCTGTGGCCGCTTCTTTTCGTCACTTATTAGTAGGCACACCCCTCAGATTACGCTTTTCTCCTCATCCCGCTCTTTGATCCTCACCCTCCTCTCTGAACCTCTACCTCTTCTCGTGAACCCATCCCTCTCTCTCACACTCAGATAGCAGTGGTGGTGGATGCAATGTATGAGCTCTTTGCTAAGTACCGCCTCCCACTCACTGGTACGCCCCCCACTCACTGGTACTTACATGCTGCTTTTTGTAATGAACAAAGAGAAGCTTTTGGTCATCTATGCAACTCATACCTCCCCTCGTCCGCAATGCTCATATCCCCACTCTGCTCCACTTCTGTCTGTCCCACCTCACTCCACCGCTCCCGGTCCCTTCCACCTCTTTTCATTTCCTCTCTTCTGCTTTCACTTCCCGAGTCGTGCTACCAACTAGCCCAACATTCCGTCTATTTATTAGAGAAAAAATCCACTTGCACTTGACCAAGGGACCTGTAATGAGTTTGTTTTATCGCGCATGGACGATGCTCTTGATGGGTGCATGCATGGTGGGGTGGTGTTTGTTGCTTGAATTCTTTTGGCAGGTCATCCGGGTATCCAAGCTGCTTTTGAGGAACGCAAACGGACCAAGGTGAGATGATACGGGCTATCATCTGCTTTTGTAAACCTGGGTGCGAGTTGTCTGCATATTTTGTGTACTCAAACATGCTTCACTAAAATACGGGTGTGCTTTTAATGGAGGAGGTGTCGTTCTGTGGTGTGGTTGTTAAGAAATGGTGCGCTTTCAAGAGTTCAGGCGTGTGTTTGGATGGAAGAGATGTAGCCCTCACATCGCGTGCTACCAAACCGCGAAAAAAAAATGTTCAGTGGGACCATTTATGTAGTAGCACGGTTATGCAGACCACATTATCTGACTGCCATATGAGGTAAATGTTCATGATACATGGCCCCTAGCCTACCGATACAGGGAGACGGGGGATCAATTCCTTTGGCCACTTTCTTCTCACCTCAATATTGATTTCTCTCCATTCCCCTCTCTGGTGTTTTACCATGCAGTATGGCATCAAGGGGTGCACCGAGGAAGACCCGTGCGAGGTGGAATACTGATGGTGCAAATGGAGTGCCGATGTGTTGCATGCAGCTACGGTAGTTGGTATTGGTGTATTGTAGTGTAGGACTATTTTGGTTGGAGTTGAACAAAGAACCATGGCGTTCAGCTTAGGCTTGTTTCCGCTGCTTCCAGGCGTTCAGCACGGCGTCCGGAACGCAGCCACAAAACCAAAGTCTTGTTTACCGACGTACTGCTTCGTTATTTTACACGTGGTTTGATTGGTAGTTCTGGCAAGGTATTATTATGACACGATGATTTTGAATTTCTTTGCTTTATTGGTTTGTGGAAGGGTGGAAGGAAGTCAGGGTTATTTATCCTTGAATCTAACAGATGTGCTACTATGCCAGATAATACGTGGACTTTTGAGGATGTTTTCATTTGCATGTACTTACATGCTTCAATGAACTGGAAACCTAAAATGATTGCAATTGTGTGGAGGTGTGCTCCATTTTTCTTTCATGGATTATGTGCATGTATCCTATCAGCTGGTTATGATGGAGTGTACATTTCCAAAAAAACCTCGTTTCAGCCGACACCGTTTCCCGGGAAACTGGCGTCTGTGCGATACGGGGTTTGAAAGGCCGCGCCAACCAATGACGTTACACGAGCGTTTGGATCCAGCCGTGGATGACGTGGCGCTCACCTGAAACCGCCTCTGGCTTTCAAGCCGCAGGTTTTGGCGATGTACACTCGATTATTGCGGTTGGCTTGAAATTGCGTGTTCACTTTGAGCCACTGCAGACCTGCAACATGGGGATGATTCCTGTCGCGAGTCAAGCTTTTAGTGTACTCAGCAGCACTTAACAGTCGCAAACGCTTAGGTGGGTACCCGCCAGTGGAACCACCATTTTAGCCTCAGCGCATTGGTTTTACACCTCTAGTCAAGCGGTCTGATGACCTCCTGACCAGGGGCATGAATTACTGTACGATTTTGGCTGGTGCAAAGAGTAAAAATTTCGGACAGCTCGATTTTAATTAAACACCAATATCTTGAGCTGTGATGGAGCTGTATCGTTGAATAGAACCGCCCCTCCTCACCTCCCCCTGTCTCCCAACTTCCCACCGTCGTTCCCTTTCCCTCAAACTCGCACCATTTACACAGCTGCCATTCGTTCTGTGGTGCCAGGCAGGCATCACTGCAAGCCCTGCGGTGAAGTTGACTCCACCACGCGAGTGGGGCAGCGTGTCGAATTCGAGCGATGAGCGCGGTTCTGTTCACACAAGTATGGATTTACAGCTGCTCTGCGTGGGTTTCTTGCAGCCGTAAAGAAGCATCATTCTTGCACAAAAAGCTGTCTTGACATGCGGTTCTGAGTTTCACGTTCTGTATTCTACATTTACAGCAAGGAAGGATAGTTCCTTCTAGAGCACATTATCGAAGTGCGAAACATTGATTCTCACAAGAAATACCGTGTCTGCTACTATTTTCACTCCATAGTCTTTGGCTACCGTCGTTAGAATCAGGATGGCTGAACCAATCACAGCACGCCAACACCTCACCTTCCTCCTCGTCGCATCGCTAGTCCTTGGAATAATCTGCGGTCCCGCGGCTATCGCGGCGTCGGAACTGGAAGATGCCATCAACAAGGCGAACGCGGTACGGCTGACTTAGTACCATAGCTATACGCAGTACGCATTTCCATAGCTGTGGCCGCGCACCAATAATAGCACACTCGTATGTGCTCTAGCAGGGCATATGGGAGCGCATCATCGTGTAGATGATCTGTCACGCCTCACGAGCATCGCGCGGCTACCCAGCGGGTATCGCGCTGCGGCTATTGCGCGGCAATCCCGCGGGTATCGCGCGGCGTTGGAACCGGAAGCCGCCATCAGCAAGGCGAGCTCGGCAGGCATTTCGTATCTCACAACCCTCTTGGGCTTCGCGCATGCGACCCAGAGATGAATCCGTGTTACCCGGAGTGTAACCAGGAGCTGAGGTCGCAGAGAGTGTGTGCAGCGCTGTGAAAGGGGTTTCTTTTTCAGAACCTATTACGTAATGAGCAATTTGTACAGGCGAAAAGTTTATCGCGAAAGATTGCGTGCCTGTTCACTGAGCTGGCGTCGCGAATACACCGTAACCTCCTCGTTCGCGAAGGCAGACTCATCGGCGAAAAGCAACCACGTCGTATTCGCGATCCTGGTCTCGTAGGATGACGGAAACGCGTTCTGTCCAACCTTCGTTTATCCGTGCTTGATCTCGAGTCGCTTGACAGCAGATTTTCGGCTTGCGAGTCTCATCTCGACATCGAGACGCGCTACCCTTGCGAACGTTTCCGTCCCACCCAAAAAAAAAAAATAACGCGTGTCCTCCGTTCTTAGCAAGCGCGTTGCCAACGCTGTTCGCCGATGGAAGCGCGCTCTTCAGCTGACTCGAGGGTCTGTGCGGATGAGATGGTTGAAATTGAAGCATTATGGGGGGAGGCGTGAGGATGGAGGGGGGTTGGGGAGGAAGAGGGGAATGGGGTAAGATGGGGGAGCGCGGAGGTGGATGGGGTGGGGAAAGGGGGAGTAGAATGCGGGGGTGGGCGGGGAGCAGGATGAAGGCGACTCGGGAACCAGACGAGCCACAAGCTCAGTTACGGCTGGTGCAGTCTGTGGTTTGGCTGGACGTGGAGTAGGAATCTCGCGTGGAGTAGGAATCTCGCGTGGACGGCTGAGATGTAACGTCTTCTAGGGTTAACGTTTGTCTCCTCTCTCCTCTCTGTGCGTACGCGTGTGTGCATGTGCGTTTGCGACCGTCGTGTGCGCGCGCGTGTGCGTGTGTTTCCGTCCACGCGGCATGCATGCAGAGAGGCGCAAGTGCTTCCCCTACAGTGCTCGTCCTCACATCCAACGTGGCGCTCACAGCGTGAGTTCACATGCACCTCCTATCAGTACAGCGTCCTCGCTATCAGTATTACTCTTCCTTTCCGCACCTCCTTCCCCCCCCTCTCTTTCCGCCCTCCCTCTTCTCCCCCTAGCCGCCTCCTCGCACTCTCAGGCAATTTCTGACTTGACTCACACCCCCCCTCTCCCCCTTTCACCCCCTCTCCCCCTCTCGCCCCCTCCGTCTCCCTCGCTTTCTCCTCCGCCAGCCCCCTCCCCGCCCTCTCAGGCGCAGCCAAGCTGACAGTCAAGGGCGCGTGTGCCCCTTCCAGGTTGGTAACCCGGTTACCAGGTTGGTGATAGGGTTACCAGGCAGGTTGTGTGGCTGAATATTTTTACGCGGAAAGGGTACATGGGTTCGTACAGGGTTACCAGTTCCTGGTAGGGTTACCACGTCGCGGGTCTCAGAAGCAGGTATCCGGAAGAAGGTGCGGGACTGTCAGGTTTGGTAACACAGAAGGGTTACTGTAACGGCTTTGTCGTCTTTCTGCTGCCATGATTGCTCGTTAATTTATGGAAATTTAGCAGTCACTGGTGCGATGATTCTGATGAGTTTCCTCAGCTGATTCGTCAGGTAGGTTCTCACATAATTCGTGCCGTTCCTGATAACATGCAATGAGCTCTTTCCCATCCCCCTCGTCCGCTCTCTCTCTACCCGTCACCCTCCCTCCATCCTCCCCGTGACCTCAAATCCTCCTCATCCTCTATCCTACGACTTTCAACCCCCGTTCCTTTCTCTCCTCTTTTCTCTCCCCCTTTCTCTCCTCCTTTCTCTCCTCCTTTCTCTCCTCCTTTCTCTCCCCCTTTCTCTTCCCCCTTCTCTCCCCCTTTCTCTTCCCCCTTCTCTCCCCCTTTCTCTCCCCCTTTCTCTCCCCCTTTCTCTCCCCCTTTCTCTCCCCCTTTCTCTCCCCCTTTCTCTCCCCCTTTCTCTCCCCTCTCTCTCCTCTCCCAACATCACCAGGTGCATCATTAGCGGGGGTGGCGCCTTCCCCATATTCACCTCCCCCTCGTCCGGCCCCACGGGGGGGGTGTTGACTCTGGTCAACCTCAACTTCCAGCGAGCGGCAGGAGGCGTCCTATTCAACGTGCGGGCGGCGGTCAACGCGAGTCAATGCGTGTTCTTGAGCAACACGGCTCCTGGCATTGGCGGAGGGGTGCTCAGGTGACGGAGTGTGGGGGTAGGGAGTGAGGGAGTGAGGGAGTGAGGGGGTGAGGGGGTGAGGGGGGGAGGGAGTGAGGGGATGAGGGAGTGAGGGGGTGAGAGAGTGAGGGTGTGAGGGAGTGAGCGGGTGCTCAGGTGAGGGAAGCGTGTTGCTTTGACAGATAGCTTATTGAAGTGTCAGTCAGCGGGTCAGCTATGCCTGCTGCTATGCCGCCTGCTGTGCTGCCTGTTGTGCCGCCTGCTGTGCAACAGTCACTCACTGTTCGCTTCTCTCCACAGTCACCCTGTGTCCTACCCTCGATTGTCCCCCGGTCCACTCCTTTCCTGAGGCTACTCAAAATCAGTTGCTGGTTGCTGGTTACCACCACTCACCACCACTCACCACCACTCACTCAACCAATCTCCCTACCCTCCACCTTCACCCCGTCCTCTCCCCTTCCCTCCCCTTTCTCTTTCCCTGTTTCCAACCCACCAAAGACTCCTTCCCTGCCCTCCCTCCCCGTCCGCTTGCCTGCCCTCCTTCCCTTTCCTCACCCTCTTTCCGTTGTCTCCCATTCCCCTTCCTCTTCCTCCCCGATCCCCCATCCTCTCCCTGTTCCCAACCCCACAGCGACTCCTTCCCTGGGACAGCCACCCCTCCGTACCGCCTCTTCTCGCGCTTCACCTTTCAGGGCAACACGGCGCCCATCCTGGGGGGCGGAGCCATCAGCATCAACGCGGGGAGCCCGCTGGGCCGCGTGCCGCCGCTCTACTTCGTGCGCTGTCTCTTCAAGGACAACACTGCGCCCAGAAGTCTCGGAGGGGCCATTTCAGTGGCGGGGAACGGCAGAGTGCGGTTCAAGACGTGTGTGTTTGATGGGAACAACGCCGGTGAGTGTGTATGTGTGGGTGTGTGTGGTGTGTGTGGAGGTGTGTGGAGGTGTGTGGAGGTGTGTGTTTGATGGGAAGAACGCTGGTGAGTGTTGTGAGGGTGCAGATTGGTTCATTTGGCACCTACCTCTCCGCTGCAGACTGCGGGCTGTCTCCCTTCCTCTCGTCTTGCCACTGAACCTCTTGCTCGCTCATTTCTCAGGCTTGTAACGTCCCTCGTCATCCCTCTTTATCCTCTCCATCCCTTAGCATCTCTCTTCGTCCCTTTCCATCCCTCTCCCTCTCCATCCCTTTTCATCCATCTCCATCCCTTTCCATCCGTCTCCGTCTATCTCCATACCTCCCCATCCCTCTCCATTCCTTCCCACCCCCCTCTCACAACCCCATTCCCACCCTCCTCATCCTCCCCATCCAGGTGCATCTGGGGGAGCCATCTTCTCATACGGTGCATCCCTTGCCCTCGCGCGAGTCACCTTCAAGACCAACAGGGCCCTCGGCACCTCCCTTGCCGGCTCATTTTCCTCGGGCCTCGGCGGTGCTCTCTACGCCGTCTCAGGGCTCCTCACCCAGTCATCTCTCAGCTTTCGTCGTCCTTTTCGGGCAACTCGGGCAGCGCTGCCAACGGCGGCTCGCTGTACCTGCAGAAGGCGCCGGGCAGCCCAAAGTTTACGGGCGTGGTGACGTTTTGCAGCGGGAGTAAACCGGCTGGATCGGTGGTGCCCAAGAGTGGATGGCGGGTGGGCAGCCAATGCACAGCCAGGTGAGAGAGAGTGTGTGTTGTAGGGATTGCGAGGTGGAAATGGAAGAGAACGAGTGGGAAGAGAGAGATAATGAGTCAATCAATAGGTTTCTTTTGTTTCTATCCCGTGCTCTTTTCCGCCTTCCCCTCACGTGGCTTCTGTTCCTCCCGTTCCCTCCTATCCTCCTCCCTCCCTACCCCCATGCTTTCTCTTACATTCCTCCCTCCCCAACTTCCGTCCTCCCTCCCCACCCCACCCATCTTGCTTTCTCTGCATCCACACAGTATGAGTATTGGGCTGTTTGTTCCTTACTCACCACAACATATAGGTTGTTCGCTTGCATCCTTCCCCTTTTATTGTTCGCTGTCTGTTTCCTACACGCGTTAACCACACTTGAACCCTTGGTACCAGAATTCAAGTGCCAAATTGAAGAATGACTCTTCCGCCTTGCCTCTCCCTTTTTCTTTGCCTCTCTCCCCCTTTTCCTCTGTCCAAGCAGCACCTGTGCTTGAGCTCTGGCTGTCATGCTTCACCGCAGTCGACTCCTGCCGTTTCAGCTGGCGCCTCACTTTACACTCCCCAGCAGTCATGCTTCTGAGGCATGGAATTGACACAAGTTGCAGCAATTGCATGGAGGGTGACATGGATGAAGACCACTCCTTGACGACACTGAAGATGTACCCAATACTTTGTGAAGGCTCCCCTGGCAAAGTCTGTCCCGGTTGACTGACTGCTGTGAAACCTGCACCCATGCCTTGTCGGAGCACATATTTGTTTACGCTTTTTTGTTTTGCCCTTTTCTCTCTTTGAACTTACCTTGCATTTTTTCCTTCACATCATAAGCTTGTTTGTTGGGTACCCACCTAGTATGTGCTGGCGATGTGCTTGGCATTCTTTCAATCCTGTGCAAAGAACAATGCATCACCAATGGTGTTGATCCATACAAATGTGGGAGTGGGTGTATCAACCAATATATACACTCACAGTGGAATCGCGCAAATTCAGGGCAGCTCTGACATGACACGTCAAAATCTGCGACTCGCAAAGCTAGGTGAGGTTTCAGGTGGGCGCCGCGTCGTCCGCTGCTGAATCCAAATGCCTCCTGTCATCCAAACTCCGTTCCTTTCAGCCAGTTTCCAGCGCGCGTCCCAACAGCCCCCTCTCAAACCCAGCATGACATTCGTCATTTGTGTAAATTGAGATATCGAAGATGGATGTCCCACCCATCCCCACCACTTCTACTTCCCATAACCACCATTCGCGCCGTGGCGTCAGGTGCGCATGACAGGAAGCCCTGCAATGTGGTGGAATGGGCACAAATCGCCACTAGTGTCGTCCGTCAATATGAGCACGGTTCCGTTCACTGCGCCCCATGAGAATCTCGTGTCGTGCAAACCATGCTGTAGGAGATCGTTGCTGCTCGTGACTTTGGTTCTCTCTCTCCCCCACCCAGCTCGCGAATGAACTTACGGCTGCGTAGCGTGAGTTTTCCCGATGATCAGGTTCTCACCCTCACGTGCTTTCCGATCGCTAGAGTCTAGCAAGGATAGGATAGTTCCTCTCAGAAATCATTATCCGAGTCGCAAGTATTCAATATTTGTCTCAAGGTTGCATGTCTGCTATAGTCCACACTATTCGGTTACTACAATCGATAGAGTCAGGATGGCTCGTGGCAGGGAACGAATCACAGCACGCCAACGCAGTGCTTCTTTCGTCGTCGCATCGCTAGTCATTGGGATCGTCTGCGGTTGGCTGCCGCGGCGTCGGAGCTGGGAGATGCCATCAACAAGGCGAACAAGGTAGGCATGTATAGATTCACACCGATGCCACCTATCGCGGCGTCGAATGGTAGCCTCTATGTTTTTCGAAACACTAGCGTCAACCCTCGCTAGGCTAAATGTGCTTGATGCGGCACGATTTCCACGCTAGCTTGCTGCTTTGAAGTCCTCTCAACTGAGTTAAGGCTTACTCAACCCTTGCGAAAGTAACTACCATCTAACAATTTCGGCCAGACTCGTGTTTGTTCGTGTCCACATGGCGTGAATACAGGGAGGCGCAAGCGCGGCTCCCACAGTGCTCGTTCTCACATCCAACGAGCTGCTCGCGGCGTAAGTTCCCCATCAGTCCACGTCTGCGCATGTCACATTTCGCCACGCGTGCATTTGCCACCTCATATCACCTCATCCCATGAAAGCCGGTTACGTTCGTTACGTGAAGCATTGTCCCCTGATTTCGACCTTTGAGGCGCCTCAAAAGTCAGGCCCCATCCCTGCTTAGTCCCCTGATTTCGACCTTTGAGGCGCCTCAAAAGTCAGGCCCCATCCCTGCTTAGTCCCCTGATTTCGACCTTTGAGGCGCCTCAAAAGTCAGGCCCCATCCCTGCTTAGTCCCCTGATTTCGACCTTTGAGGCGCCTCAAAAGTCAGGCCCCATCCCTGCTTAGTCCCCTGATTTCGAGTCCACCCCCATCCTGATTGCTTGAGTCAACTAAGCCCTCTTTCCTATTCCCCTACACTCGCGCTTTCCACTCTCTTTCCTCCCTCTCGACCCCCCGTACCCCTCCCTCCTCCCCTTCCCCCAACCTTCTCTTTCCCCCTTCCCCATTTCCCCTTCTTCCCCCCCTCCTCCCCCCAGCCCCATCCCCGCACTCTCAGGCGCGGCCAAGCTGACCATCACGGGCACGTGTGGCGCCAACAGGACTACCAGGTGGGTGGTAGGGCTACTAGGTGGGTGGTAGGGTTACGAGGTGGGGGGTAGGGCTACCATGTGGGTGGTAGGGTTACCAGCCGAGCGGTAGGGTTACCAGGTGGGTGGTAGGGTTACTGGCTGGGCGGTTGGGTTACCAGGTGGGTGGTAGGGTTACCGGCTGGGCGGCTGGGTTACCAGGTGGTGAAGGGTTTATGAGCTGGTAGAGGAGTCACTTGAGAATGGTTGGTTCAGTGGGTCAGGTCGGCTTTATCACCGTTACCATTACAGTTGCCATTACCATTGTTGCATTACCATTAACTTAGTTGCATTACCATTACTACTATTGTTGCATTGCCAATACTATTGTTGCATTACCATTAACATAGTTGCATTACCATTACCATTGTCGCATTCACCATCGCCATCGGCTTGATACGTCTCCTCTCTCCTCTCTCCAACCATATTCGCGCACCATTTTCGTCCCTCCTCCCCAACTATGTTGGCGGGGGTGGCGCCTTCCCCATATTCACCTCCCCCTCGTCCGGCCCCACGGGGGGGCTGTTGACTTTGGTCAACCTCAACTTCCAGCGGGCGGCAGGGGGCGTCTTTTACAACGTGCACACGTCGGTCAACGCAAGTCAATGCAATTTTGTGGGAAACACGGGCCCTATCGTTGGTGGAGGGGTGCTCAGGTAGGGAAGTGGATTGTTGAGGGGGTATGAAAGACTGTAAAGGATGATTAGGTGAGAATGTGTGTGTCACATGTAAGAGTGTGTGGTGCAGACTCGAGTGTGTGTGGTGCGGATGAGAGGGTGTGGCATGCAGTGGAGCATGCTACGCCACACCACACCACACCACACCACACCACACCACACCACACCACACCACACCACACCACACCACACCACTCCACACCACACCACACCACACCACACCACACCACACCACACCACTCTACACTATGGTTTTAAAATGCTGCCCTTCCAACCATGAGTGACAATGCACTCTCCATCACTTCTCACCCACCCATACCTCCCTCCCCCTTCACTTTCTCCCCAACCACCAGTGAATCATTCCCTATGGCAGCCACCGTTCAAGGCCTTCCAACCCGTCTCTTCTCAAACTGCACCTTCAGTAGCAACACGGCGCCCACCTTGGGGGGCGGCGCTATTAGCATTAACGGGGGCAATAGCATGGGCCGAGTGCCGGATATGCGCTTTGTGCGCTGTGCCTTCCAGGACAACAGCGCACCCACAAGCCTGGGAGGGGCGATTTCGGTGGTGGGGATGGGCTGGGTGCGGTTCGACAAGTGCTTGTTTTTTGGGAACCGTGCTGGTGAGTGAGTGAGTGAGTGAGTGTGTGTGTGTGTGGTGGGGAGAAGGGAGAAAGGGGAGGGGGGTTGGGGGGTTGCGGTGTGTGTGTGTGTGTGCAAGTGTGTGTGTGTGTGCGTGTGCGTGTGTGCGTGCGTGCGCATATGTGTATGTTTCCTTGTGTAAGTTGTCCTGTAGTGTGTGCATCTGGTAGGACCGGAATCTACCCAGTAGCATCCATTCACATCTTGAGTCGACCCCAAACATTCGCACTGCTCCCTTCCATCATCCAGACACATCGGAGGGAAGCAACTTCCGAGCAAGGTGTCTTCTGGGCAAGGTGTCTTCTGGGCAAGGTGTCTTCTGGACAAGGCCGATTCTGGGCAAGGCCGATTCTGGGCAAGGCCGATTCTGGGCAAGGCCGATTCTGGGCAAGGCCGATTCTGGGCAAGGCCGATTCTGGGCAAGGCCGATTCTGGGCAAGGCCGATTCTGGGCAAGGCCGATTCTGGGCAAGGCCGATTCTGGGCAAGGCGGATTCTGGGCAAGGCCGATTCTGGGCAAGGCCGATTCTGAGCAAGGCCGATTCTGAGCAAGGCCGATTCTGAGCAAGGCCGATTCTGAGCAAGGCCGATTCTGAGCAAGGCCGATTCTGAGCAAGGCCGATTCTGAGCAAGGCCGATTCTGAGCAAGGCCGATTCTGAGCAAGGCCGATTCTGAGCAAGGCCGATTCTGGGCAAGGCCGATTCTGAGCAAGGCCGATTCTGAGCAAGGCCGATTCTGAGCAAGGCCGATTCTGCGCAAGGCCGATTCTGGGCAAGGCCGATTCTGGGCAAGGCCGATTCTGAGCAAGGCCGATTCTGAGCAAGGCCGATTCTGGGCAAGGCCGATTCTGGGCAAGGCCGATTCTGGGCAAGGCCGATTCTGGGCAAGGCCGATTCTGGGCAAGGCCGATTCTGGGCAA